AGAGACAGAGACACAGAGAGAGACAGAGACACAGAGAGAGACAGAGACAGAGACAGAGACAGAGAGAGATCCAAGTAAGTTGCCACTGAAGTAGAGCCAGGCCTGGCCTGGCTCCTGGCATTTCAGGAACAAGGTTTTGTGTGTGAGAGCAAGTGTGCTTGCATGTGAGATTGTATATTGCTATTTCTCTTTCTCTCAGGCTCATGCCCATATTTCGAAACACCGAAGCTTCCTGAACAACTAATGCACATTTTTCTTACTGTTAAGGGATAAATTGTATCCCCCTTTGTGCAAGTTGATATATTCAAGCCTTTGTCCAAGTAACCCAGTATGCAATCTCTTTTTAGAAAGAGGAATTGGGTTTGGATCCCAGTGACCACACTGGGCCACAGTCACCTGTAGGCCCAGCTTTAGGAGAACCAACCCCCCTATTCTGACATATGTACATGTACATACACAGAGACACATGGACACATAAATAAAAAGCATTTGGGAAAGAGGAAATTTGAATAGCTATTAGAGAAAGCCATGTTAAATCGAAGTTTCTTCAAGTTAAGGAAACCCCAAGATTTTGAGCAAATACTGGAAATTACAAGAGAGGCAGGAAACAGGCTCTTCCTCGTAGCCCTTAGAAAAAACCAAACTTGAAACACCTGACTTACAGCCTCAAGAATGGGAGACAAACAATAGTCTTCTGTTGTTTAAGTTGCTCATTTTTTAGTACTTCATCACACAGCCCTAACAACTTAGCCAAGAAACCAAACTTCTGAATGTACACAGCTCAGACACAGTGGGTGCAACGGTCCACTCAGAGGAGCCTGTGCTGAGCTGATGGGGAGAAACACTTGCCTCTGGAGCAGCCTTTATCTGAGCCAGATAATAAAAGCCATCTGGTTCCCTCCTGGCCAGGACCCAGGGGCCAGCAGCATCTCCGACTCTTCCCAGCCATCTAAGCCCTTGATATGGTGTATCAGCAGTGTGGGAACAAGGGTGACAAGAGGCACACCTGGGAAAAGCAAATGAAATCAAGGGCTAAGCACAAAACCCTAAAAACATCAATAGACCATAGAAATGGCTCAGGGGGTAGTGTCCTTGTCACCAAGCCTGACAGTCCCAGTTTAATCCCCAGACCCTACACTGTGGAAGGAGAAAACTGACTCCCATTGATTGTCCTCTGACTGCCACATGTGAGCTATAGTGTATGTCCCCACCTAGATGAATATATGAATATAAAATGAAACCAGTAAGATACATGCCTCGGGGTTTGATCTGAGGAGGCTCACTGCACAGTGGTGTATGCAACAGAAATCCAGGAAGAATGGCAATCTATGACTTCCCATAAGATCAGCTAAACTTCTGGAGTTAGCAGAAATAAAAGATACAGGGCATTTTTTGGACTGCACATTGTTTCAGGGTAACCAAATGAAATCTGCTTGTATATGTTTGTTTATCGATGCCCAAAAGACAATGTGGGACTCTAGGATGAGATAACAAAGTGACAGGGGAGCCAAACTTAAGTCACTTGGCTCCAGGGGTCAGAGGAACTTGAGCAATGAACTGGAGAGAGAGCACCTGTTGTTCTTGTAGAGGACTAGGATTTCCTGTGCCTGTAACTACAGGTCTTCTGCCCTCTTCTGGCATCTGCAGGTACTGTATGCATGTCGTACACAGATCTATACAGGCAAAACACCCATACTGGGCATTTGGGCTGTCATGTCCCTATCCCAGACAGACTGGTCCCTGGAACTTGCTACAGGCTGAAGTTCCTTTGTTATTTCATAGTCCCACTTTAGACAGCTGACTGAAGATGCTATTCTGGAAAATCCCAGGCATTTGAGGACTTTCAACTGCCATTAAGACCAGGAACAGAGGAGAAAGAAAAGACAGAGGACAGAAGCTGGTACCTGGTGAGTGTGCAGTTCGTGGGTAGCCAAGGTGCTTGCCTGGCAAAGAGACAGGTGAAGGAGAGGTCCGAGGGTGATGCAGCACCATCCGGGTCAGGGGCTTTCGGGATTCTTGCCACACTGCAGTATTTGGGCAGAGGCAGCTCAGGCCTGGTAGACGGCTGCATGGCCTTCAGAGCACCCACCTGGAGTAAACACAGGCATCACAGTTGTAGTCTCAGTTGGGCAGAGGACACTCCCCAGGGTGTGCGCGCGCGCGCACACACACACACACACACACACACACACACACACACACACACACACACACCCGCCCCGGAGTTTCCCCTTTGGGGTACCGATCTCAGAATGTCCCTCAGGAACTAGGGAGGACTGAAAGAATTGAAGCTAGAAACTTAAAGCAACCTCATTTTAAAAGCTTCATGCTCACAACTTGTTACCGCTGCAGAGATGAGCCACGAGAAGCACCTGGCAGATCAGCTCCCACTGGGCTTTACCTCCTTCCTCCTCCCCAGTGGCTAGAACCCCTGGAGCATGGCCTTTCTCTTTACACACCCTGCTCTGACCACCTGCCCCGCCACCAGTAGCCACTGACTCCCTTCCTAACCTGGTCACCTGCAGGACTAGCTCAGGGCCATCCCCTTTGTGGACTTAGCAGCCACCTAAGACTTGCTAGGGTCTACCCTGGCCCAAAGCCTGATTCCGGGTCTGATTCCAAAGGGACTTACCTAACACTCCAAATCGAGCCCAGACGGCGGCCTTGCCCCAGTCTCAGCCCCATCTGACAGTTGGCACTCATGGCTTTGGCCCAACAACTCTTGGTTCCCAGGCAGGTTGCCAAGCAGGTTGCTATGGATGTGATCCAGCAGGCAACACTTGGGAGGGTTCTGGGCATGTGCAGAAGGTGACCTGAGCATTGAGAGACTTAGATTTGAGGTAAAGCGTGGGAATCAGGGCAAATTTGTATTCTCCCTTTATCTCAAGGGTTGCTTTCTTACAGTGGAAGCCTCTTAGGAATCTTCGGGGAGTCCTGTGAGGGGGTACTGAGCTCTACAAAGACTGAGTGAGGGCTGTCCATCAGCCTCTACCTAGTGAAGGCAGGAGGCTGGATAGGGAAGCTACTGCGTAGCCTAGGGACTCTTTGTTCCTTACAGTTTTAAAAAAAATAGTGTTAGGACTAGAAAGACAGCTAGTGAGTAAACTGCTTGCTCTACAAGCAATAAGGCCTGTATTTGGATCCTCAGCACCCAGTTGGCTGGATTTACAACCCTAGCATGGAATGAAGAGCTTAATGGTCAACTACTGAACCAAAATGGGGAGCTCTGGGTTCAATGAGAGATCCTGCCTCAAAAAAAAAGAGGGGGTGTAGGCAGAGGAAGACACCTTCTAGCCTACACACACACACACACACACACACACACACACACACACACCAAAGGTGTGGATGTTTTTGTAACAAAAGGAACTTTTTCTCCAAAGGAGTAGAAGTATGTGAGGTGTAGAAGTATGGGGCGTAAACTGGTGACCAAAGGAATACAAGTCCAGATTCCATGGGTCTGGAGAGATGGCTCAGCAATTAAGAGCAGTGGCTGTTCTTCCAAAGGACCTGGGTTCAATTCCCAACACCCACATGGCAGCTCACAACTGTCTGTAACTCCAGTTCCAGGACTTCTGACACCTTCACACAGGCATACATGCAGGCAAAACACCAGTGCAAATAAAATAAAATAAATAAATCATTTTTAAAAATAATAATAAGACCAGGCAGTGGTGGTTCATTCATACCTTTAATCCTAACACTCAGGAGGCAGAGGCAGGCAGATCTCTGTGAGTTCTAGGCCAGCCTGGTCTATCAGGAGAGTTCCAAGACATCCAGAGCTACACAGAGAAACCTTGTCTTGAAAAACCAAAAATAAAGTCCAGATTCTGTTCTCATGCCCATATCCGCAAAAGACTGGAATGTTGAGGCAGTCACCGTGCTCAATGGAAAAGACCCAACAAAGCACAGAGGGGCATGTATATGAGTCTCAAGACTGTGGCTAGGAACTTTGTATACCGTCTCTCTTCTTCATATGCAGGAATAAGGAGGCATATCTAGAAGATTCTGGTAGCTATTTCCTGAGAAAGCTATAGAGATAGACCTAGGCTCTTGGGCACTCTAGTTCAAGTAGCCCACTGCTCCCCCACAGTGTATTCTGTACTGACTTTTAAAAAGTTCATTTATATTTATTTTATGTGTATGAGTGTTCTGCCTGCATATATGTATGTGCACTACAGGCATGCCTGGTGCCTGCAGAGGCCAGAGAGGGCTTTGGATCCTCTGGAACTGGAGTTATACACAGTTGTGAGCTGCCATGTAGAGGCTGGAAACCAAACCTGGGTCCTCTGCAAGAGCAGCAAGTGCTCTTAACCACTTAGTCATCTCTCCAGCTCCCTGT